TACTTCACAAGCACTGATGATGTCACCTCGGTTGGTGATGAAACGTTTGCAAACAAATTGCCAAGCTCGGCGAACAGGCGAAATAGAATTCAGTTCACCCGAGATACGAGAACCGATTTTCAATACTTTGTCAGCATTGAACAGATGTTGCGGTTTACCAAGTGTGCCTTTTGAGGTACGAATTCTGCGATCTCACTGAAGATCGAATCTGAGAGAAAGAGAGCATCACTCGGTCGTCATGACAACTCACCGTGACACGATTTAGCTAATACAGTTCACCTTTACGAAATTTGTTTTTTTTTCGTAATTTTATGAATCAATCTCTGTGTGTGTGTGTGTGTGTGTGTGTGTGTGTGTGTGTGTGTGTGTGAACTCACCTAAACATCCGGTCGCACACAGGAAAACCGTGATCGCCACACCCAGAACGAATGAGAGTCGAGACAAACCGTGATAGAAAGCCGATTGGAGAGTAGTCAGAGGGGGCAATTCACCACTCGTGACGCGATAAGGACCGTATAGCGGTAGCAGAGTCAATAGTGAGGCCAAAGCAACACTGCCGATGGACAAACCGATTTGTGAGCCACGGCTACGATACTATATAGATATGTCAGAAAAAAGCGGGACGGGTGAGGGCGGAAGCGGGGCTCGAGTGAACTTTGAACCGGGACTTACTGCATGTAAACGTGTGTGGAGGAACAATGTCATCTGAGTCACTAATGTAGATGGAGAACAAATCAGAGAGAGAGAGAGAGAGAATCAAGTCGAACAGAATGTCTGAGTTATTCGAAGAGTACTTTGTCGTGAGCACGTGAACGTTCTTGTTGTTTCAACACTAGTGATTGTAGATTTGATTTCAAACTTGGGAAATGTTTTATTTTTTCTAAATTGTTCGAGACCTCACGATGTGGAGGTTGATTGTGAAGTGATAGTATCTAATTTGTGTGGTTCGTATGCGCAGGCAGGTTAGATCAGTCACTGGAACTGAATGAAACATGATTCAGAATTCTTTTTATCCTCTTTACCTCGTGTTGAATGCATTCATTTAATTCCGAATCAAGCGTTTATCCTCAGTATGATACCCATTTTTTTAATACCTCCATAACCCTGCTCATATAAATTTGCTTCACGAAATCAAATGTGAACACACTGTTTTTCAGTGTGATAGAGAATTGTGTGGTTTTCCTGAGATATCCCTCTCAACGAAGGGGGTGAATATAGAGAGTATCACTTCTGTTCTTTAATGAGAGAGAGAGAGACTGAATACCGTTCCATCAAAACAGAAAGAAGACAAATGTCGCGAAATGTTAACATTTCGCGACATTTGTCTTCTTTCTGTTTTGATGAAATGGATAAAGGGAACTCAATGCTTTGAATACCGTTCGTCAGAATTTCATACTGCACGCATTCCCGATGGGCTTTTGTCCAACAATCCAGTCCGTGATATCACGTGACTGGCTTGACCTTATCTCAACTCATACTAACGCAATTGACCGAGCGTTCGAGGTTATATTAATCATTGAATGACACGATAACTGTCTCAGGAGTTTGAACCATCGCAGGACGGCAAAAATGACAAACTGGCTATGATCAATATACAAAAGAAGTTCATAAACCGAGACTGTCACCATTCATCCATCTTGTGATTTTCTATACGTGAACATTGAGATATTCCCGTAATTGTTGGCCTGTGAATGTGTTCCCTAATTGGTCATCTGTTGAGTCCTAAACCCGTGCTTTACTTGCCTGATCAGTAGTTCTGAATTCTCCGTCCACCATACAAAATCTCTGTAGGTGATGGTTCAGAAAGTACCTTGCACTAAGTTCACTAAAAATGTCCCTGAGGCCATTCACCGCCACGATCGACGAACTGTAAGAGCTAACTGGCGCGTTCCCAAGCCATGGGTAGGATAACAGTGACTTGGGTAACTAGCCCGGAATAGCTGAGTAATAGTTCACTGAATAAGCTGTTAGATGTGCAAGCGCACATGTCAGTCTGATCGACAATTTTCGCGCAACAGTAATCTGCAGATTTTCGTGGAAGTGACAGAGTATCTGATCCGTTACGTCATCTTGGTTTCATATAAATTACACTAGGGCTTGCGAGTGGTCGAGGTGCATCAATGAAGAAGACGCCTAATCATACCGGAGATTCGACTGTTCATCACTTTTAAGATTCTTCGTAGACTCACTTATAAAGCCTGCTTATACTTGCGCATGACTAAGCAACTTGATAAAAATTGGTAGACATTTTGTAATACAAGCTTTGTGACAAGAGAGGGATAGAAAGAAAGAGCAGAAGCTCAGCTGAAATGGTGAATTTATACTCTGTTGGCGAAGTAGACCACTTACTGGAATATTTCTGTTTACCTAGTATGATGTGAATCCGCAGAGGTATTTCAAGCTTACTTTTCACGCTATTGGTAACGATTTCACAACCCTCTATGGAGGCCTTTGTTCAGCCAGTTCACTAGGATAATGCAAAAGCGATCGATGTAAACGTTTCTCTTGAAAGACAAACATTTCAAACAAGGAATTCGTCGTGTATAGTGCAAAAGAAGCCAGAAGGCGTTGGACAGCTGTTTCGACCTGGTTCAGTCTCATCAGTGGTGCGAATTCATTGACCCAACTGGGGATCGCAAATCTGGGACCTCACAGGCAGAGCGTTACCCATGCTACCCATTCGGCAACCGAGCAGCTTATCAAACGGTTTTTTTTCAGTTTCTATTTACACCATATAGCACAACCCATCTTTGTGAGCTTGTTGCGGGCATGGCACCTCGCTCATCTTAGCACTAACCGCTGAAATCCCTCTTTGAAATTAAATCAAATTCTCCAATACCATTATGTGAAAAAGACATTTCAAAGGCACAAAACATCAACGAAAACAGTGGGAGACACGATAAAAAACTACCGAATTTAGTTCGTGGACCAAACTTACCTTGCATGAGAGGTGCGGATAATCGATCAGAATCCAACCGAGCACCATCCCGATTGTGTACGTTCCCCAACGTGCGTACGGACGCACATACATAGCAGAGAACCAGTTCCTAAAACGATGAGGAAGAATGATTTACAGTTTTCAATATATTGGTGGCTAAATACGCTTTATACTAGGAGATTATGAAATTTTGATGGGATAGATTTGAAAGAGTTTACATATGCACAAAAACGGATGCCGTGGACAGTTTTCAAACACATGAATATGAGAAATTCTGAGTAGGACAATCTTGTTCGGCGTGTCATCAAACCTCTGGCCTGCTCTGTTTGCCTCACCAAGTTGATCGAGGTGATAGTCCAAATATGTCCGACAGAAGCCTCTATTCCTTAAGCCTGAATTGAAAATGGACGCGCTAAAGAACACATATTCACCAGATTATTCACATCGGTGTTGTCCTGATCTCTCCCCCCTCTGCTCTCTGGCGTCAAATTCATTCTCTTTATAATTCCCGATCAGATGACTCCTGTCCAACAAATCTCGCAAACAGAGAGAAAACAGAAGTGAATTCACCGCGAGCTATGACCGATTAATCGCGAAGATTTAAACCATCTCATTTTTGCTCTGTTTGTGTTGTTTAACGTGTATAGCTTTGTTCATATCCCACATACGTCATATCAAACAAAAATGGAATTTGCTTTATTGATAAAAATGGTATGATGTATGTGCATATATAATACAGTAAGTAGTAAATGAATGACACGACAAAATTCCCTTGAAAGCCTCAGACCGGGTACGCGGTTATTGTCGCTCATCAGATACGCGTATCCAATCAGTAGTCTTTTCTCTTTCCATTCATATACCCAAGACTTGTATGTTCGTCTCAATAACCTCATATGAAGGCGGAAAAGTACAGCTAATGTAACTGAATGCAGAGGGCATTGAACATCGACTTAGGAATCACACTCTTTTCTACTCTTTCATCGATTACAACTTTCCATTGGTGTTTAGGTTATTAATCCCGGCTCAATACCTTTATTCGCATGTACAGTTTATTATTATTATTATTATTATTATTATATTATATTTCACACTTGTCTGACGATAGACTGTGTGCCAGGTAAATCATGGTACGATGATCTTTATAAAACGTTCCATGATTGGTTTACAACTTACATTTGATCGTCATCAGCAATCATTATCCAACCCACCTGGGGGATCTAAACCTGGGTAAAACTGTTTTCCATATGGAGTTTCCAAGATGTGTTAATCGTACGACAGGTATGAATGTAAAACAGATAACAGAGGGGTTACTCAGTCATGCATTTTTCAAGGACTTGCGAATCTCGACAACTATAGCAATGCATATTTACCGCATGCATAGCCATATACCTACAGATGTGAAATGCTTGTCTAATACAATCATGAAATGATACCGTTGTACAAAATAATCGAATGAACATCACTCACACGTCCAATGTGGGTACCCCGATCTGGTATATGTGAACCAGGGCTATGGTTGCAGCAAAACCGGAAATGATGAGCAACGCGGCAAAAAGGAGGCCCAGGAAACGTTTCCTAACAGGTCAGAGAAGAAACAGAAAAGAAAAACGGGTGATGGATCGATTCGTGGCAGGAAGCGTGTTGAGGACTGTGGAAAAGGTCAGATAGAATGTGTGTTTGTGAAACGTGAAATGCTCTCTCCTCCCCTCGTGCACAGGAATATAAAGATTATGCTTCTGCGTGAAGTATGCTGGGTGCTATCCGCCGTTCGTTTGGTCCGTTATCCCTGACAGTCTTCAAATTGCTGTTCGCCTCTCATGTACGCCCTCGATTGGAATATGGCGGTCCGGCGGTCTTTCCTTGTACGGCTTCTAAGGTTGCTCAACTGGAGAGAGTTCAAAGGGCTGTTACGTGGGATCAATTACGACGGCCGACTGAGTGCAACGGGACTGCTCCCCGTGTCATACAGACCACTGAGAGGTGACCTGATCTATATCAGATGGGCGACTTTGGCCCAGAATTGCGGTTGGAATTCTCCCTGAAGAACAACAACCGCATCAGGGAACACGCATTGACACTCCGTAAGATGCAGACAAACGGTCTACCGCTGATCTATTGTCTGTTGAGAAGGGTGACAAATCTCTGGAATGCGCTTCCGGAGGATGTGATGGAAGAGCAAAAATGATAGCATCTTTAAACAGACACTCAACAGAGCCGTACAGGAATACTGAGAGCATTTTGATAGAATCCGGTAAGAATGCGTTAAGCAAAGCTCTGCTGTGAGGATACGACAAAGCTGTGCACTCCCGCTGACTGGAGGTGGTGGTAGTCGCCAAATTATCGTCTCAGACGACGTGAGTTCGAATCCCATCACCACTTGATTTCCTCATGCTCCATGTATTGTATGGCAGCCCTTTAGCTGGGCACTTACCCATCCCTGCGTGAAAAAATTGTATCGTATTCAATATAAGTAAAACAAAAATGAGATAAGCAATGGGAAAATCAGTACCTCACACATACATTTAAAACTCACCAAACCAGAAGACTGATAAAAATGGGCACCAATACCAAGGTGAATTGCATATCGTTGGCCAGATACCAAGACCATGCCATGCACTGAAAAGTAATAGAAAGACATCAGCTAGGTCATAGCTCATTGCAGACAGGTAGAAAGTAAACGGATGTGACGGGCTTGATGAACTAAGGATAGGTAAATACCCGAAGCATCGATGCAACCTTGTTGCGATTATTTTCTTTCCTTCTCTTTTTCTTTTTATTGAACACATAAGTGTTCGAAATGGTTTTGTAAAAGGGAAGTAAGTAATCAAAAAGCGGTCATTTGATGCATTGAATTGAGAAAATTGGATGTTAGGAGAGTGCATTTCATGATCCTTGAGGGCGATGAGATAATGACAAACTCCGCCTGAGCAACAGGCTACTACGAAATGAAACGAACATGGTGTGGCCTACAGGTGACCGACACGCTTATCGCGCTTGCCATTCCGACTGTAGTATCTGTAGTACTGTACTGTAGTATCGATTGGCTCCAGCCAATTAGGTGTTACCATTGAATTGTCCCCGCTCATTGGTTCGTTGACTGTTTGAATGAATGCTTGGCGGCATTCAGATGTCCTGTAACACTTGAGCCAGTTTTCCGCCTTCCTTCCTGTGTGTTGTCCGTTTCTGCTTGCTCCCCGATCTATGGACCGGCTACATCTGTGCCCTCTACAATAAAAGTACTGCTTAATTCACTGCATGCTTATCGACCTACTTAAACACGGATACAGTAGTATAGATGCGTTACTTTTGATTCTTTTAGTAATAGAAAAACACAGTTTCTGGGTGAAAAACTTCTTCCACGATGAGGATAATGTCTGAACACGTTTCGTTGATTGTAAGTTGGGATACAAACTGAAATAGCAAACCAGTGACGTAACGGTTAAATAAGCAATTACCTGAACATTCTCGTTCTTCTCACTACACGTTAAATTCGTGGGCCAACTGGTGATTTTCACAAACTTTAAAAACATGTTGCCCATATTTGATCATTACTCCCTACTTTGTTCATGTCTAGTTAGTTGTATAGGCAGAAAAAATTGGTAAGTATGACGAAGGTACACAAACCTAGCTCAGTACAAGTCTAGGGAAAATTACCTTGAGTAAAACTGAAGAGCACCTGGTGGACATCAGATGTAGAGTAGAAAAAATAATTCATTCCCAACGATATGGCAGACAGGTGTAACTCAAACCAACGAAAGTCGTTTATCAAACTCCCCTTGCAACAGATGAAATGACCCACCTCGTGGCTCTGAGAGGTGATTCGAAAAATCACTATGCCTGTCACCTGATACTGAGGAACATCAAATTTTGCATAATTCATCCATCACTCATTTTACATGTCCGTTTTCGGAGTGCTTTCAGAACCATAAGCTAAACTCGTCTGCCCGCTCGCTCGCTGGGTCCATCACATCATCTTATGCAGACATTGAACCGTATCTGGACACTGGGAGTGAAATTCGTTGTTGTGATCGCCAAAAAGCACACTGAACCTGTTTCGTTCCAGTTCGGACTGGTTTTCAGTAGTGCGCACAATAGTATTCCTATCCACGAACCAAATTCGAATGGGCCACCTCAACTGAATCGTTATACACATATAAAAACTGACCTCATCATAACACTGTTTTAGCCCCGCAAAGAAATGGTTCAAAACAAGATGTGGTTCCCCCCTTTCTTCCCTTTTCAATTTTCATCTCTCATTGCTCCAGCTTATTCGAGAATCCTAGTGTTGTGAGGTGCTACTCACAATTGTGAGTAGTATGCAAAATAATGCGGTTGGCGGTTTCTTCCAACGGTAAAAAAGGAACTAGACTACTTAGAGCGAATTACTGTGTTCGAAATGCTAATTGTGGCTTGTTGCATTCATTATCCAGTGCGCTGCCGATAATTGTGATGACATGTTCCACATGAGATATATATTGTCATATGTACGTCAAACTGTCCATACCCTTACTCTGGTTCACAATGAGTAAATCTTCTTGATCTAGTACCGGTTTTCTGGAATTACGACACAAGCGAGTCGGATTTAACAAAAAAGAAAAAAACAATCCGCAAGAGCTGGGCCAGAGAATGAACTACGAAATGAAAACGCTGGTCCAAGCAGGTCTGATTTGGGAATCAACACGGAAGAGCCCGAGAGCGAAATCAAGCAGCACATCATGTACGGCTCTTCAAAGTGACAACGTGTGCAATCCCACACTACGACCCATTTTGTTCATGCCCAACTCATTACAACATAAGCTAGACAAATAGTTTGCAGAGAGTTTCTATGATCAGTACACTGTGGTCCACACTTTCGGACGCGTACTTTGCCACTTTAAACAAAATCTACGAGACAAAATTATAATCTCCAACTCATACCACTGTTACCCTGACGATTAATTTATTATCATATTTCATATTATATAATGTATAGTACATAAATATATATATATATTATTTATGACACGAATAAGATGATAGATTATTTGAACACCTGATTTCTCTTCACCCAATCATTACATCGACGTCAGTGTGCAACGAAAGGCTGTATTGCCTTGCTGGGCGTTTTATGTCAGACAAATGAATAAATCAGACGATGTTTATATAGAAAGAGTCCTAGATAGGAACAAAATTTCCATTTTGCCAGCTTTTCACCAATCGGATATAGGTCTGGTCTAATCTGAACGCCATCCTACAGAGCCTGACAGATTTCCCTCGGAAGATAATCTGGATAACAAATTAGATTGAGTTAGGAAAACGCTGCAGTCAAACGGCTAACTTAAACAGTTTGATCCAAGACAGTTACAACTAAATTCTACGAGGAGATAAGATAACATTAGACCTTTCAACGGTATATCAGCTGGATGATTACCAAGCATCGCAAGTTGATCGTTCATCATCTGAACCCATGATTGTTTTGAAAGCAGCCTGGATTGCCAACATCCTTGGTAAAAGAACCGCTGCCCGCTCCCCCATCCAGGGCGAAACAAACCGCTACTAATGCAATAGTGGATGTTCGAACGTCTGCATGTAGATACAATTGCGTTATCGAGTAAACGAGTACATCCCGATCTGGCATCAGAAACTAATGCTTTCATTACGTTCCAATGCTTTGCTCATGGAAATCCTGGTTGGAGGGAGCGATGAGAACCATTGACGAGGCCTAATGACCTTTCCTACCAGGTGACTATTGCCACAAACTGTTTCGCAATCTTTTCTTGCATAGAGAGCGAGAGAGCTTCGAGTACTAAGGAGCGAGAGAGAGAGAGAGAGAGAGAGAGAGAGAGAGAGAGAGTAATCGCAACCTATTCCTACAACCAACCATCACGGTTTCGGTTAAATCAAGCAGCGCAAACCAAAAACATCCAAAGGGAAAACAACTTGAGTGCGAAACTTCTGTTACACTTAATGCATGTTCATTCAGGAATTCCAGTGAAGAATGGTTTTTTTTCTTACAATCCTAATTGCCTAAGGCCAAACACTTTCCCGGACTATCATCACGTTATTCTAATAAGTCAGGAACAGTTTGAATCAGTTTGCTCTATCGCATGGTAATAGATAAGGAAGAATCAAACTCTCAATGATAGTGAGGGTCACTTTGATCCAATCACCATTGCCCTTACGGCAGCAGAACTCACAAAATGGTTGTTGCCTCATCATACATGCCGCATGGTTTGCATCTGGCCGACTATTAGCGTCCATACACGAAGCTATCACCATCACTCTAAATTGATTATTTTGCTACTTCGGGAATTCCTGATTTTTCATTCATTTGAAAACACGGTCTACAGGATTTTCACCTGAATCAAACTTGAACCGATGGGTCATAGTTGTGATTATGTGACTAGTACTTGGTTTCAGTGTTTATTTTCATAGAAATATTCCATGGTAACGATGAATACGAATAATAGGGAAATGAATAAGTTTCGTGCATTTAGTGAACATTAAAAATCCTCCTACGGATGAAATTAACCCTCGACCGCAAATCCAGTTTATATGTTTTGATCGTTTAGATTTATACTACTCATGAGTAGGCTACTAACATACTTGAACATCGACGTCAAGAGAAAAACGCAGAGAGAAATACGTCAAAACTTAGCTGTTGAAGGAGTGAACCATTCTGCACACACCCTCTCTTCACGTAGTGGGCTTTCTTAGTCATGCGACTTCAAATCCCTTTGGTTTCCAATGGCCTAATGATTTTAGACCAGAAGCGTGATTTATGCATCTCAATTAGAGTTGCCGCATACCATGCATAATAATTGGTGACACATTTGCCATGTTCAAATTCTTTAACTCACTGCAACATATCCATTCCATATTACTTAGTCTATCTTGCTTTTATGCTCCTTTTCGCTCAATGACGTGTTATCAGATTCCTTTTCCCCTCCATTTATTGTGGCATGATGGCTTCGATCAGAAGTTGTTTTAACCATATACGTGTGAGGCTGATTTTGAAACACTGCAAACGGTTTTTCTCAGTATCTCTCAGAAATTTTACTTCAAAAAAGATGAGTAAATATTATATTTGGGGGCTAGGGTAGCAGGAATAAATTTACTCGCCACACTACACGATGTACTTATTTTGGATTGGCTTTTAGAAAAGACGGAGAATTTCAAATTTAGTCCTTTTATGACAGCTTGTTGTGCATGTTTTGCGCATCTCCTCGTAACAATAATGTTTTCGATCTAGTCATAATCGCGGAGGTAGTTTGCAAGATGGGCGTGGGGGTGAAAAGTTTAACCAACGTGCGACAGTCTGGTCGACTGCTCCGTGATGAATTAAACAGTATGCTTGTGTCCCGCCAGTGAGATCTTGGGCTCACTCCTGATTTGGATCGAAATACATTAGAACCGGTGCAAGAAATTGCATGATCAACGGTTATATGAACTGAACTGATTAGAGCGGTATACAATACCCAGAACAAGGGTGCAATGCTTCTGAGCTACTCAGCACACCTTTTTTATTCTTTGTATGACGAAACTCTTCCGGAATCTCAGATTTTTTTTGTCTATTCGATTTTTCACCTAATTGCATTCTTATTGCAATTAAGGTTGCTACTTCCTCAGTCGTCTGGTTATCGATGAAATCGTTTGCTCAGTTGTGAGGACAGGCGGAGAGAGAGAGAGACAGTAAGAAACGATTGAATTGTGCGGTGTGGTACACATGCTTGCGTGTAACTGGTTTGAATGTGTGAACTTCGGACTTCACGTCTTCACTCCATTTTACTGTGGTAAACGAAACAAAGGTCAAAGTTTTACTGCTACTTTAACGGGCATAGTGCCGCCACTTCCTCTGTCGAATTCTAGCTGGATCAGGCAGTAACGGTTCGCGGTACACTTTTCATTCGTTTGGTAGGAGTATTAGGGGGAGAGGAGTGTAACGCGTGCAAACAGTGATCACACACAGGTTCTCACCACAGATGAGGAATAACACTAAAGATCACCAGCAGGGGCGTCAGAAAGAGAGCGAGAGAGAGAGAGGGACAGTGCGAGAAGGCGTGCGGATGAGTGACCTTCAAATACGGGAACAGATCAACCAATCAGGTGCAAGCGCGCATAATCTGGCTTAGGTGTGCGTGAAAACGACATACCATTTCATCGGGTTTGATCAGATTATTAAGGTAAGTCAAATACCAATTTCGACGACAAACTCGGTAATCCGACCAGTCTAAATCTTGCGGATAAAATGGACCATCTCCAATATGGTTTATCAGTCCCGTATAGATGATCAGAACGAACAAATAGGCGGGGGACAATCTGAAACGCGGAGTGACAGGAAGTTTCAGTAGAAATTAAATAAAAATGGTTGTCGTTTTCTATCTCCACCGGTTGTATATGAATGGTCAATGAGAGTAGTGCAGATAAACTGTCGAACATTGATGCTGCTCAAAAATATGCTGTAATAAAAACTCAGAATTGACCTGGTTGATCCCAAACACATGTGGATCTTACTTCACGAAACTACCCCAATGTTAATGCATTTTGGATGATGATGATGATGATGATGGAAAAACAGCACTGCTTTCTCCACTTGTTAGGATGTGTGATGAGAGCCCAAATCATGCCCCAGTTCGATTGCATCGGGTGTCACGTGACTGGTCGGTCTCGCTATCGACCTTACCAGTAATGACAAGCCTAATGATTATCGATCTGTGTTTCACCCATTGACCCTATAAATCATGTTCTCATAAGTGCAGTCAGCCCGCGCTCCAGTTTAGTGACTTGTGTTCTCCCTAATCAGGGGCGTGCAGTTATAGCAGGATTCCACAGACAGTGTCTCCTACTTTGTACCCCTGTCCGGATTCGAACCGATAATCTTCGGATTGGAAGCCGAAAGTTTAAGCTATTATTTGCATTTAACTCTTAGCCACTTCTGTACAGTGGTGTGAAATGGCTGCTACTGGTTCTGACTGAGCATTGTTCCGACCGCATATTTACGCGTAATCCTCAGTTCATTCGAGCAGAGCTTTAATCAGACTTGCGTGCTGTGCTCAACAGAGCTTATTGGTAATGTGTGCAATGTGTGCATCCACGGTTCGAACTCCAAAACCCGTGCATGAAACATCTTCAGTTAATGCTGCACGAAACGGATACAAGAAACTAATACCAAAAACGGGGTAGAAACGTTTATGATAACCGACAAAGAGCATTGGACAGCTGTTTCGTCCTGTTTGGGACTCGTCAACAGTGCTATGAGGACTAGAAACACGAACATTAGACTCGGGACTTCAAACCCTCATCCCTGAGCTACAAACATTTCCATCGCATTTGAATGCATTCGAATAGTGGGAAATTAACGATCTCCCAAGGAGTGAAAACCACACCCAAGACCATCAAGAGTGCCTGGTGCCACTGGACAATCAAATGGGCTGATTTAAGTTTGATACTCTAGAAATTGATTGGGCCATTTGCACAAGGTGACAACCATCGACCGTGTAGTTCAGGGGCAAGGGTTTGAAATTCCAACCTAGAGGTTCGCGGTTCGAGTCCTGACAGGGACACAAAAAGTACACACTGGTCAAGAGTTTCAAACAAAACAAAACAGATGTCCAGTGCTCTTTGTCGGTCATCATAAACATTTCCACCGCATTTAAATGCATTCAAATAGTGGGGAGTTGACGATTTCCCAAGTGAACTGAAACCTACCCTGAACATCATCAACAGTGCCTGGTGCCTGTGAAAAATCGAATGGACTAATCCAAACATTCACCATCTAAATGTTTGAACGGAATGTTACATCCTTTCTGAATGAACCAAAACTTCGCGGAGCAAGATGGATTCAGTTAGATGAAAAAGGATATTCACTACGTTCAGTAGATAGTACGTGCACGAAACTGTTCATCGATATAAATATGCCTAAAGGATGAGCCGTATTTTGTTGGTTTGAATGTGAATATACACCGCACAGCATCAAGAATCACCGGATACCGGATTACGCAGGGGTCTATGCAAGGGTAATTCCCTAGACGATTACACATGCTTTAGGCTGGTAGCTTCAATGTAGCACAGATTTGATATCGATAAAACTAGGTGTTCGAATTCGGGAATCATAACAGACATTGAATTCGTCCTGCTATCTCGAATTTCACCTCGTGCTCCCACCGTCCCTTGATCTCAACCTAACTTTATTTACTATGGGGTCGCAATTCAAATTGCATTCCTTCAACCAGACACTGTGCGACCAGCAAAACTTTATACTGATTCGCTGTAGTACACCGATTATTCCGTCCAGCGTCTTGATAACTCACGTCGATGCAGCAGCATCGGTCCTTCTGATTCCGTTCCCATCAGGTTGCAAATCAGTCAGTCACTGGACAGAAAACCGCTAACTAAGCGCTCTTTGTGCGCTTGAATTTGAATATCTGAGAGCTGAAAAAAATCATATCTGTGAATTCCCACTCCTTGTGATGAAGCACCAACCCCGTGTTCGCTTTCAACTAGATGATGCTTGGGGTATGAGATAGGTGATTACCATACCAGTTACAGTTCCTATTCCATCATGAAATATATGCTATAAGTGACGAAGAGAATCGCACAATTATGATGACCCGCTAGATCAACTTGCACAGTTTTGCGGGGGACAAAGTTCACGCGGTCTGGTGTGATTCAAAGTTTACTCGAATTGCAATCAAGCTCGAACCACAAGTTCAAACTGAAATCAGTTTCTTCTGTTCTCTTTAAATTTTCGCTCTAAAAATATACTTTCGTTTCGAGAAAAGGGATGAAAATCTTCGTGAGATTGATTGGTTGATTGATTGATTGATTACGCAACCCTGGAAGAGAGCACAGAACGGTTCTCCGGAGAGTTCGCCTTGACATGGTTAATAGGCCACACCATCCTCTTTAGAAGGAGTGAGTTGACCAAATTTAACGTGCATATGCAAACACACAACAATTAAGCAGATAGAAATACAGGTAAATAGATAGATAGATAGATAGATAGATAGATAGATAGATGGCGGAAGCTGAATACACGGAATGAAATTATATATTATCATTCCTTGATTCTCGCTGCTACAATTTCCCCCATTGCTTTCAAAATTATTCATTGTCTTTATTTTCACTGACTTCCCCTCTCCCACCTCTTAAGCTCAATGGATAGGAAGAAGTGATTTTTTTGTTTTATCCGCAGAACCCATTTCCACTATTATATTGAACAGACCAAGATTTTCCACTATGCGTTTTTCAGACTCTTTTATGCAAATCAATCACACTGTACCAGTGTGCTCCTTCTCTTCTTTGCATTGTTCAACGAATTCGTTCGTTTCCTCGTCTCCGTACTTTAATCGTGAGAGACAGATACACATTCACTCTGTCAATTCCAGTTTCATTGTTTATAGTCATTAACCATATACTTTCGAGCTCCCGCTTTGATTGCTGTCTTTTGGCTACGCATTTGGATGAGAGAGCGAAATGAGGATTGGAATGTTGAGACCAAATTCAAGGTGCAGATAGATAATTCATTTGGACTGGGGATGCATGAGCGTCATTGTTCGCGACACTCAGCCAAAACTTTCGCTCTATATGTAACTCTTCAACTAAGAATGCTACCGTGTGACGTAACACTTGTCCCGAATTTGCGTCAAGATGTTCATGCCCTGACTTAATTGCTGTCATAGATGATGACCTGTTATGGTGAATGTGACACAAGTATGTGTAGGCCTGTCTGAAACTCTCTTCGCGTATTGGTTGTGGTTAGTTGTTAAACATATATCAGCAAGTTAGGTGGAAACCCCTGCACGGTGAACTTACAGTGGATCCTGCTCTTGGATTGACCGTATCAGTGGTTGTAAGATGGGGCAAAATCTCGGATTGGGCGGCTGGAATCAATTCCCTACCAAAAGATTTCAATCCCATGTTCACATGATACCCGTCCTGTATGGTAAACTTTCCTGAATGATTTGAACTCGTTTATACCCTTGAAATCCGATATAGTACATATACATACGCATAAAAACGAACTTTATTCATCTCCTTCTCTGCTCCCCCCCTCCCCCGGGTATTTTTATTATTATTACCTATTATTACCTATGGAGAAATGCTCATCGTCATTAGCTTCATCATACAGCAAAATAAAGTGAAACGAATTTCACTGATCGCTACCAAACTCGCAACGGATACAAAGTTAGTGGTAATATTTAAGATGGAGAGGGTTTGGACAGAGGATGGAAGCATGTGAACCTCTGTAGTCAACACAGAGTATACACTCTAACTGTGCATGCATATCGTTTCAAGTATTCTGGCCCAATTAGAGATGACAACAAGAACACCACTGTTGTCGGTTCGCGGCCCATATCCTTCCATGTGTCTCCAACCAAACAGTTACAGTCTTTCAAACTCCAACGTGAAAGACACGGGATACGTATTCCACCTAATCACTCTGTGCATTTCTTCATGCCTCGTCTCCGCATCATCTGTTGACCGTCAAGTGCTTTTATCCAGCCCAGAGCGGCTACAGCGAACAAAGCGCGGTGCGGTAGACAACAGCTAAACTAGTAAGTTTGTCAATGATGAACTCCCAAACACACGGCAGTCTACCTCCAGATTGCCAACCCATTCATTCCATCCCACGTGAGCCAAACTACTTGGACACCGTTATTCAAAAACTTCTAGTAGAGGGATATCTTTTATTCGCAAATTCAAGCTCTCATAACGATAAAGCAGAACTGAACGAACGCTAGCACGANCGCCGTAGATGTTTCAGTCATGCGTACACCGCTCGAGCCTTGGAAATGCGGGCGGTTATCTCCTTAACCATGCTACCGTTATTAGTCACGCAACTAGGAAAAGCAATCTACGTTTGGTCATTTAGTTTCGAAGAGGATCTAGGTGCAAACTAGCCCTTGCCCTTTGAAGGTACAAAGCACATATCGAATGTGACAACAGCACCTTTTTAGCTTATCAAGTGGGCTTGGCGCGTCTTCCACACATTCGAACAGACAGACGATGTCATGAGTGTACTCTAAATCGTACAACTTTCCTCCACCTACTCAAAATTCTCACCCCCCCCCCCCCCAAAC